CCCCTAAACGGCGCAAGGTGGTGGGCCCCGGTGCGGACGGGCCCGTGTCCCCAGGCAGCCCGGCCCTGCCCCGCCTCTGCCCACAGGCGGCCCCCGGCACCGCTCGGGCCCAGGAGAGTCTCGAGGACACTGCGGGCCGCCCAGGCCCACCCACGGCCAGCACAGACCCTCCACCCCCAGCTCTGTCCCCTCTCCCTGATGCCCAGCCGGAAAGCAGCGAGGGCCGAGAGCCAGACCAAGCCTCGGAGAGGCCGGAGGACGAGGCTTCCACAGGCAGCTCTGGGCCTGGGAGACAGCAGGCTCCCCACCTTGCCTCAGGGAAACGCGGGACCCTGGGGGACCGTGGCAGGTGCGCCCGCGACCTGCCCCTAGGAGAGCCCTCCCTGTCCCTGAAAGAGAAGCAGGTGTCACCTTGCCATGTGGCGCCTGAGGGGGGCACAGCCGGGCCCTCCCACGACGGTGGTGCCACCAAGCTGGGGGCTTGCCAGAGTGCATCGAAGCCCAGGCCGGGGGCGACCACCTCTAGCAGGGCGCCCAAGCTACCAGGACAACCAAGGAAGCCCACACACATTGGGAGCCCAGCTCCCGGAGAGCTGGCCCCCGGCCCTGAAAACAGGAGGAAGCCTGCCACCCCCAAGGCCAGGCCTAGGCCTACCTCCCAGGGCAGTGGGGGGGCACGCCCTGGCACCAAGACCTCAGGGGGCAGCCAGCCGCAGCCGGCCAGCGGGCGGCTACAGAGTGAGACAGCCATCACCCCGGCCAAGCCCCGCGGCCCGAGCCAGAGCCCCGCACCACTCCCGCTCCCACCTCGAGCCCAGGCCCGGGGCAGCCCCAAGGGGACCCAGGCGTGTGCAGGTCCCCAGGAAAAGGCAGAGGGCAGTGAGAAGAGGAGGAAGGGGCCAGGCCCAGTGAAGCGGGAAAGCACAGGGAGCTCAGGCAGAACCCCCCCAGCCCCCAACAGGCCTCCCCGGGCCCCCCGGAAGCAGGCCACCCCTAGCCGGGTGCTCCCCACCAAGCTCAGGCCCAGCGGTCAGATCAGCAAGATGAGGCCTCAGCCCTGGGACGCTCAGAAGGGGGAGCCTGGCCCAGGCCACCAGAGGGAGGTGCTGAGCAAGGCCTTCCCCCAGGCAAGGAGGGGCAGGTCTGTCCCTAGTACCAGGCCCGCGGCGTTCCGAGACCACCGGACCGCTGAGTCCCAGAGCGACCTCCTTAGCCAGCTCTTTGGGCAGAGACTGACCAGCTTCAAGATCCCTCTCAAGAAGGACACTTCCGAGTGATGTATAAGCAGTGCCCAGCACGGAGCCTGGGCCCCAGCGAGGCTCCTGGTGGTGGCTGCTCCGCACCTGAGGTGGCGCACTTCGGGGCCCCCCACCCGCCTCACCCCACCGACACTCCAATGGACCGGTGAAGGTCCGTTTCTTGCCAGAAGGCTGAGAGTGAGGGATTGGCCCGCTGCAGCCCTGTTGAGACTACACAGCTGTTTTCTTGGTACTAAGTACTTGAAAGAGCAGCTCGTGCCCTGCCCAGCCCCATGTGCCGCAGGCTTGGCAGCATATGCTGCAGACCTCGTCGGAAGATTTGCACAGAGTCCCCCGTCACCAAGCAGGGAAGTAAGTGCGGGCAGTTGACCAGATGGTGGCCTTTCCCTCGTAGTCTTGCTGCTGCTGGAATTCCAAAGTGCCCTTAGGAATCCCATCGGGCGCCCAGGGCTCTCCATGTGGACCACTTCTGAGCCACCTGATCCCCAAGAGCGCCAGCCCTCCGCCCCCCTGACCACAGGATCATGCCTTCCACTGGCCACAATGCGGATGCTTCTGGGGCCCCTGCTTCCCCAGGGAACACGGAGAGAGCCGCTGCCCCTCCGGGGCCCCTCTCTGGAGCCCTCCTCCCCACGGAGCCCTGGGCTGTGTGCATCCTCAGTCCTGCTCAGAAGCTTCTGGTGCTATTTTCATATTGTAATGTGAATACTGGGTTCTCCTGAAACAGGAGGGGGCGGGGAGACAGCGCTGGGAAGACTGGAGGAGGCTGCAGCCAGAGCACGGAGACAACATCCCAGGGTTTCCCACAGGCCTCCTTAGTAGCCCATCCCGGGTCCCCCAGACGGAACCTGCCAGGTACCCACATCCTGGCCCAGCACCCCACCAGGAAGGGCAGACAGGAGGGCCTGAGAGGCGCCATGCTCTTCGGGGAATCTCAGATTCACAGCTTGTTTTGTTCCGTTTTTAGTTTTTAACGTGGGTGCAATGTGTATGTGAAAGGTTTCATTTTGACATTTTGAAAGACACCACATGGGGCCCAGGCTGCCCCCCCAGAAGGTGCTAGGGCCTTGTAGACAGCCTCTTTCTCACAGACGAAGACAGGAGAGGGGCCTCAGGCCAAGCTGTAATAACCACAGCCAGCTCATCTTTCTGAATATATTCCCACTATTTTCACACAAACCCCGGCTCTGTGGTATCTGTCCGCGCACCTGCTGCTCCCTGGAGCCCCGGAACGTGGCCCAGAAGGCGTTGGCCTCTGTTGTCTCTTCTCGGGGCCACTACGGGCCACCTGCTGGGGCAGGGCCGTGGGGACACATGCAGACGGGGGACAGGCACTGGCTGGAGCTGGACTCGGCAAGACTACTCTGGTGGCCCCCATATTTACAGGGGAAAAGAGGCCCATGCAGAAAGGGGTGTTGATGGCCACACACGGCACCGTGGTACACTGACGAGGTGGTGAGCCCTGCGCAGGACTGCGGGCCTGGCCACCAGGTGGCAGCATCCACCCAGGCAGGGGAGCTGCCTCTGCCTGCCACTGCCCAAGCCCACCTCAGCCTCCACTCCACAGAGCAGACTCACGCCCTCAGGACCGCCAAGCCACCCACCTGTGCAAAGGCCTAGAGACCGCCACATGCAAAGAGACAGACAGGCAAGCCGCCCATGCACCGGCAGGCACATGCACACCGCACACACATCCACACACAGTGCAAGGTATACACACACAGCCCCACCGTGCAGACCTGCACACGGGTCACATATGGACAGATGCCCCCCCTCAAATACCTGCGAAGACCAGGACACACCAGGCACCCTCGTCCTGCCCATGAAGGTTGCATCCTGCTGGAGCTAGGGGCAACTAGGGCTGACTCCCAGCCCCGTGGGCAGAGAGCAGTTGCTGTCCATAAGCTGTCCCTGCCCAGGTACCTGTCCTCAACAGGCCTCTCTCCCATACCAGAGTCCAAGGTCCCCAAGCCAGCAGAGTGGACGGGAAGCCGTGTGTCACAGAGATGTTTCCTGGGCCGTAGGGTCCCACAGCAGCCACCCCTCTGGAAGATGGGGCAGGGGTGAAGCTGTCCAGGTGGGCAGGCCACAAGGCACACAGTGTGGCCAGTGGCCATCCACTGTGCTGGGAGAGTGCACTGGGTGGTGTGCAGCACAGGAGGAAGCCCTGCTGGCCGGCTCAACTGAGGCTTCTGCAGGGTGGGGTGCATCCTTCTGGGAAACCGACCCGGACCATCCTGGGACTCCAGCACTGAGTGTGGTTCGCCAGGCCCACGTGGCCCCACTCAGGAAAGTGTAAACGCTGCTCCCTGGGCAGGAAGAACCACATGGGAAGGACCCAGGGGGACAGCTTCAGGGTAGCTCCAGGTGGTTGCCAGGGAAGAGGCCATGTCCTTGTTACCCAGGGGTGTAGAAGTTGGGTCTCGAAATGTCCCCCCGAAGGCCAGGGGACCTGAGACTTGGAGGCTGCAGCACACCGAGTCCTGCTTCATCCTATGCATGGCCATGTGCAGGCCATGGATACCCACGGCAGCCACAGCCTCGCGGGCCCCAGGGCCACCGTTCATCCGCAGGGTGCACGAGGGCAGCACACTGAGGCCTCAGCTGTCCCTCCATCCCTGCAGTCCCAAGGCTCCATCCCCTTCCTACAGCACAGTGCCTCACTGACCTCCAGCATGGCCTTGGGGTCAGGAGCTCAAGGCCACTGGCCTCCACCCTGGCAGGGCCAGGCAGACAGAGGAGGCAGGAGCTGCCCTTCCTCAGCCCAGGGCTGTGGGGCAGACTGCACCTGGGCCTGCACTGCCCAGGACCCTGGGACGCTTGTGAGCCCAGGGAGGGCAGGTGCTTGCTACCAGCAGCATGGGGGTGGTCAGGCTGAGGTCGGGAGTTGCTGTGCCAGCTGGGCCTCAGCTTTCCTAGCATTCAATGAGCACAAGCTCGCCAAAGCCTCCCAGCTGTGGTGCTCACAGCTCCCTCCTAGATTCCAGGGGAGTGTGGTGATTCCCCAGCGAGGCTGGACTTTAGCCCCAGCCTCAGCTTCCCTGTCTGTGAGGGGATCCCATAAGATTGCAGGGTACTGTTCTGGGATGGAAGGGGGTGGTGTCTGGGAACCTCTAGCTCTGCACACTCACCCACCCCCAGGACTGCTGCTGTCCTGGCTGCACTGAGCCCAGCCGTGGGGCACCCCATGGGGGCCACACAGCACTCCCCCAGCCCTGGTGTGGCGAAGTCTCACTGCCTCTGTCTGCATCCTCTGGTCCCTCTGTCTCCATCACAGCAGAACCCCCCAACAAGCAGCAGCTTGAGACGGCAGCCACATCCTTTCCCGTGAATCTGCATCCCGCAGGCCTGGTGGTGCTAGTGGGGCCTAGAGTCTTCCCTCCAGCCTCAAGACCCAGGGGCTGACCCCAGATCAGGAGTGGACACCAGGCTGGCCACATCCTGCTGACCAGCCAGCCGAAGAGCGCACGCAGGAGCAGTGAAGACTCAGGCACCGCACCTTAAACCATCCCAGCTGCTATCCGGCCATCTGGGAGGTGCACCCACCCCTCACCAGGCTCCACAGGAGCCCCACCCAGGCTCGGCATCTGCCCAGGCCTGCTGTCCCCTTCAGGCCACCCTGCTGGATGTCCCCTCCATGGCACAGCTGTGGGACAGAGGGTGGAGGTCACAGTCACAGACGCTCCTGTGCAGGAGGCGGGGAAAGGACATCACACAGCAGCCACGGGCCACACTATTGTGGTCCCGAGGTCCAGCCTGGCCCAGCCCTGCCCCTCAGAGGGACTGCGCATCTGGCTTCACCCTGGGGTCCTGTTCCAACACACTGTCCTCTCCCCTGGACACCTGGGTCTTCTGGACAGGCCACACTGCCCTCTGAGGTCACCTCTCACGGAGACGATCCCTTCCTGGCTGGAGAAGCTGGGAATAGGCCACAGTGTTATTTTCCAGCCCAGCACCTCCGGCTCCCGCACACTTCCTCTCCAGCCGTTCCCCAGCAGCGCAGCAAGCAGACCCCACGCCCCTCAAGCTCCCCGGAGCACCTTCCCCAGCACCTGCACCCGGCAGCGCCTGCGCTCCAGGCCTGGCTGATCACCCCAGACCCAAGGGCAGCTACTGCCCACCTCTGCAGCCCAGGCCCTAGCTGGTGCTGAGCACCATGCTTCCATATACCGGTTTTGGTCTCAACCATCAACTGCTATGCACTGACCAGCCCCAGATGCGCCAGGCTGGTATCCCCCAGCCCATCTCTTGGATCTCCGCACCCTTGCCACTCCTCCCTGCCTCCCCATCCTCCCGCATGTAAGAGGCCGCAGCCCCCGGCTCCCGGGGAAAGGCTTCAGGGGCTCACAGCTTCCAAAGTTAAGGGCGCGGTGCCTGCGGGCCTCATCCAACCAAGGACAGAGGCCATCACAACAGGGCTTGAGCGAGTGAAATGCTCACGTCTCTGACAGAAGCAGAGAGCACATGAAAGAGGGTCTGGCCCAGAAACCCTCTCAGGCATGCTTCTGAGACCCGAGGGCCCCGCCCTCCCTCAGTAGCTGCCTCGGGGACCAGGTTTAATTCACGAGCCCTGGGGACACTCAGCGCCTGAGCAAATGGCAGCAGGGCCAACCCCTTCCCTACCTTGTCTGCCGCACTGAGCACCGGTGTCCCCTGCCAGACCTCCCTGCCAGAGCACAGGGCCACGAAGGGCCGGTGCCATGGGTGGGAGGGAGGAGGGGCCAGCCCCACCTGTGCCCTGAGGTCAGGATGCGCCAACACCCTTGCTGGCACCATGGACTTGAACGCTGCCCTCCTGGGGTGCCTTGCAATGCCAGACTCAGTTTACCTGGCCATCTGCACTGCCCATGTGGTGCTTAAAATGCTTTATGTCCCTCCTCCCAAATAGGAAGCTGATGAAACCCTTCTCGCTTGAGCCAGCGCCGACAAATGTCAGCATGGGCCCCTGGCACGGCCCTCCAGGGCCTGGGAATGATGGCCCGGGCAAGGCTGGGGAGGGGCTGAGCCCCGCCAGGGCCACCTCTAGTGTCCCTTCCAGAGCACAGGTGCCTTTCCCAGGGCGCTTCCGGCCTGCCACCCACCTGCTGTGTGACTTCAAGCTGCTAACTCCACCTCTCTGCACCTCGGTCCATTCAGCTGGCAAATGGCAACTCTAACAGCTCTTCCTTGGAGCCTCTGTGGGCAGACCGTGGAGTGATGCACAGCTCACACCCAAGAACCCTCCACAGCATCACTCTTGCCACTGCTGGGCAGGGTGACCAGCAACTCTATGCTGAGCAGGCCTCGGGACTCCCTCAGGAAAGTGAGCAAGCTGGGCCAGCAGTGGGAGGGAAGATGCACTAGCAGCCCAAACAGCTTGTGCAAAGGCTCAGTGGTCACAGGACTTCTGGACCTACTGGCAAGGACTGGAAATTAAGGCAGGGCCCAGCGTTGCTGAGTGGCCCTTGGGAAGGTCCCCCAGGCTGCAGCCTGCAGTGGGGTGAGAGGGCTGTAGGGCCAGTGGAGTGAGACATGGGTTGGGTGATGGGTGACGGAAGTGTGGAGCAGGGTGCAGGGACTCAGCGTCACCCACACTGGGGTAGACACACAGGGAGAGTGGGGTAAAGTGGATGGGGCATCTCTGTGCAGTTGCCTGACCTCTGCCCTCTGCCTGCTTCCACAACTTCCAGCACGCCGCCTCCCCACTCACGATTCTGGAATTTTCTGAGTCCCTTGGTTTTGTGAGTAGCCACTTCAGGGCCTGGTGCAAGGAAGCGGCCTGGCTGTCACCCCCACCCTGGCCAGCAGCCCCCTGGGATCCCAGCTCAGACTCCCGGACAGGAAGGATGGGGAAGGCTGTGCCCACGACCCTGACCCACACCCAGAAACCTTCTCGGGGGCGGCCCATGTACCCCAGGCCCCACTCTGCCACCTTCTGCGAGGAAGCGCTGGCCACCGAGAGAGGTGTGCGAACTGGTGAGAGTTCGAGTCGCCCTAAAGGAGCTCTCAGGTAGTGCCGAGGACATCGCCCAGGGTGGCACCCAAGACAGGGGTAGCTGGCAACCTTGGCACCTCAGGACAACCTGAGACAGGGCAGCGATTAGTCCTGGGAGCCTTCAGGCGAGCAGGAGGCCTGGGCTGGTGGTGGGCGGCTAAGCTCGGCCAGTGCCACATTGGGGTGGGCAGCTGGAGCCAGGTGA